CGCAAAATATCGACATACAGAAATATCGATTTATGTTCGGCATATTGGGCATTCATTAAGTATTGGGAAAATTCACCTGTCATATTTAGGAGCACTTGAAAAACGTATTCTCATCTTAAACGTTTCTACCGACGCTCATTATAATTTAAATTACATTATACTGCCTAGGCTGTTGCGGTATATCGATAAATGTATAGGTTTCTTAAAAAATATCAAAGATTCAATATAATTGCATGCATGCATTTTTAAAAATAAAATATCGACATACCGAAATATCAATTTATGTTCGGTATATTTTTTTATGGCGCGGCTAAACACTTGATCAATTACTGTAATACTTTCAAAAGAATGCTTTTTTATACATCGGGTTCTGTTCATGTCTTGAAGTCTTCAGGTGGCAAAAATTACGGTGCCCTGCATGCAAATGTCAAGTGTGGGTAGTAGCGAAGTAGTTGTAGTTCGCTACTGTAGCGAACTACAATTTTCAAGTAGCCAGTAGTTTTTGACTACTCTTTTAAAACAGTAGCTGTAGTTATAGCGAACTACATTTTGCCTAAAAGTAGCCAAGTAGTTGACTACTTTTCAAACAGTGAATCGCTATTCGCTACTTTTTAAAATTGTTAGCAACTTGATAGAATAACATGATATTGAGGTAAAATCAATACTCAATAGTCAATTTGCACTCCTGAACACTGTAGTGCTTTAATATACAAAAATGTTGTTTTGTGCTTACTGTTGCTACTCGTACAGTAAGTCGATTTGTTACTGTATAGGTTATACATTATGGCCTGAGTTAGTAGATGCTCCAAATACAGTAAAACTAAAAAATATAGCGTAGCGAAATAGCTCGCTACATTTTTTAAGCAGTAGCTGTAGTCAGTAGCGAACTACCTTTGTTCAAAAGTAGCAGCAGTTGTAGCGGACTACGTATTTTTGAAGTACAGTAGCCGTATAGTTATAGCGAACTACAAAAATTTTGTAGTCAACCCACCCTTGCCAAATGTTTGGAATCGCTTTATAATTCGTTGTGCGAGTTTTTTAGTAAAATTTGTTAATAGTCGGTTAGTTTGTTGGGATAGTGTGTTCAAAATAGTATGTCTTCGCGTTTGTGGTGCAGTTGTTGTGCGCATGCACCGGGGCACTGCACTGTAGTACTATATATACTGTATGCCTGTTTTGGTTAATATTTCATAACTTTTCCGGTACAGAAAATATATCGATGTTATCGGTTCAATAATACTAATAGCTGTTGAGCTATACTATAGCCCAATGTTCAAAAGGGTATTATTTAAAGTTAAAATTTACTATGCAATGCACAGCCTAGGCTTGGGAAAGAAATCAGATGTCTTTTTCAATGATAAACAATTTATTGTCATTCAAATATGGTGCCATCATGTTAATTGTTATGCTTAGTTATATGTGATGCTAAAAACAAATATTGTCACTTTACAAAAAGTGATAACAAATGTAGCTAAGAAGATTGGAAAAAACAATTTTGGGCAATAAACCAGCCTGAACAAACCAATCCTAGGCAATCAATAAGGCCTTTTCTTTTCTACAAATAACAATGTCTAACTTCTAGAAAAATATCATTAATGCAATAATGGCTGCATTTTGAGTAACTTTGTTCATGAATCATGTTCCTACCTTTTGGTTTCACTATCAAAGTTTCAGTGATCACAGCAGGTATTTTGCACCAGTGGTAATTTCTAGGTTTTGAAGGATTTGTGAGCAATGTTTGAGGGAACCAAATCATTTCCCTCCAACATAACTCTTACAAATAATTTAAAACTAAGAATTTACCTAATGATGCAAAATTCCTACTGCGATCAAAAAAACTTTGACAATAATTAATAAACAAACTATCACTGACATTGTTTTATATACAGTATGATGCATTTTAGTCTGTAGTGCCATGCATGCGTTGCAACAAATAAAATTGTTCTAATCAACGCCGAAATTTGTCCAACTATTATTGGCTATAAGTAATCGAGTATCTGTACTGCAAAATTTTAACAAACATTGATGCTTACAAAAGTTAGGGCTCAGAAGTAAAAGTCTTTTTAAATGGCTTCACATTGTTTCCGGCACCCCTACTAACATTTTATAACTATTAGTAATGCCATTTGAGAAGCAAATTTGTGATCAAATATTGCACTAATGCTCCAAGCTGCGAGGTGCTACACATTCATAAATGCTGAACATGGCAGGGCTCTTTAGATATTCACACAGCCTTGCACAGCTGCACAACCATATTGCCCACTTTAGTCATTGTATGAACGGAATAAATTAAACAATAATTATTCATGTATTTTGCAATATGCATTCATTCATGCAGCAAGCTTTTCTTCATTATTTGGTGCTTAGTCCCTATGGGACCATCAACACATAAATTTCCACGAAGTTTGTTCCAGAATCAATTCCCACCCCTATTACAGACCATTTAACCCAATAAGTTGCATTGTGGCCTAAATGTGCCCTCCCCTCAAGGGGAGAGTACTGAGGCCTAGCTGATGCGAAATATTGATATTTTCAATAATACAGATCATTTCAAAAATATCAAAAACATCGCATATCGAAAACATCAAACGTTAACTGGACAACTTAATTTCCTTTTTTCCGGCAATCATTGTGCAGTGAAGTTTAGAAAACACTTGTCTGACAGCATACATGTATGCAGATTCAAGTAGCAAGCGTGTGGGCAACTTAAATTTAGCGTAAAAAGAGTACTGTAAGTGGGCAAAACTGTGTACAGCGAAGGCAAAGTGAGTACAGCTTAAGCCAAAAACAATGTTAGTGTTTCTCACAGAAAATTTATAAACAATCATACAAACTGCGAAATCACTAAACTCGTAAAAAAATCTTTAAACATTCGTAAACTGTTGGAAATAAATCTTTTAATATTTGACTAGTTTCATGCAACTTTGTTTTTTGCTGTTTCTGATGCATTATACATGCAAGCTCAATAAACTATGTTTTCTAATTTGCATAATTCGATGTACTGGGGCCGGTTGTACGAAAGGTGGATAAATCGCTATCCGGTGGATAAGTCCCTATCCAGCGGATAAATTTTATCCGGAGTGAAAATCGTGTTGTACGAAGCTTGGATAGCGCTATCCAACGGATAAAATGCACTATCTGTTGGATAAATTTATCTGACGTCCGGAGGTAGTTTAAATCCACTATCCGGCGGATAAACTCGAAGTTTGAAGACAAAACAATGTGTATTTCATTTAAAAAGGATTGCTATTGTGATAGAAATGGACAAATACCGTTTAGAAGTCCCTTTTTTGACACTAAATAAACATGGAAACTTACTTATGACCTCGCTTATGACTTCTCTTGCTCTTGATGTACCGAGCTCACTTTGAGTCACTTGCCCATTAAATAATGCCATGACTTTGCCATATTTTATGCTGACCTGTGTCAGTGCTTACACGTTACGTTTTCTGGCTTTTTTCCTTCTTTTTTTTGTTATATAGCTTGAAAACAAGCAATAAAACTTTCATTAAATGAGTTCCCTTAAACGCCAAACAAATATAGCTGCATATAAATAGACAACAAGGTGCCGAAAGTCGAAAAATTTTGTTCAATGGCCTTGATCAGCCAATCAAATCTTGCGAGAAAATGTTCTTAAAGTTGTTTTGAATGACGTGAAAGGTCAAAGAACAAATCTTCGCACTGCAGTATATAAAATAAAACTGAATCAACGTACTGAAACAAGAAAACAAAATTCGCAGTCTTTGCTATTGCCTTCACATAAAGAACCCAAAAATCTTTTAAAGAAATATCGATAAGTAGATAGCAAACTCTTCACTGTGGGAAAACGAAGTATTGCAATGCAACGATTGGACGAGAAAAACTCCAAAATATAAACATGAACAAAAAACCTTTATTGCAAGTTGATAGTTCAAAGGTTAGTGGAATTCACAAGTTATACGAAGATACTACAACAAAAGTTTACAAATACCTAGCAACAGCTGACGTAGAGATAAGAAATTTCAGGAAAATTCGGTTTTCTCCGGCTAAAATTAAGGTTATCCGACGGATAGCTATCCACCCTGCTATCCGTGCTTCGTACAACGCATTTTTATTCGGCAGATAGCTATCCATTGGATAGGAGATTTATCCATTGGATAGGACTTATCCACTGGATAACTTATCCACCTTTCGTACACCCGGCCCCAGTAGTCTATATTATCAATATCATGTTTTTGATAACGATATTTATTATATACAGTACAGAGTGAGAAACTGAAAATACGCAGTGAGATACCCATCATCCCCTTGGCAAGTAAAATCGTCTGGCGTTAGGCAGAGTATAATAAGAAAGTGGGGTTCATGAGGACGCAATACAACTTATTGGGTTAGTGAAGCTATATAGTCTAACTTTTGTAAACTAGCTTTTGTTGGTAGGGATGCGACTATCTAGAAATACAAAGCAAAATTGAACGTTTTGAGCAAAGGCCCTTTATCGGGAAGTTTAATAGGGCCTGTTGATATATGGAAGCTAGCCTGGCTCACTTAGCGAGACAGCCCATTAAGCGGGATGAATTTCTCTGGTGTTTATATGAGAAAATTTCATCCCTCTTGCCGGGACAATTTTGTTGTTTTGACAGTTGTTAAAAATAGCTTGTGCCGGTATTTTTGAACTTTCATCCTGGCAACCGGGCTAGCCAGCTTGTGAGTGTTTATATGGAAAAATTCCCATCCAGTAAGCAAGAACTCGCCTAGTCAGGAGAGATCTCGGCAAGCGGGCCAGTCTGCTTGTCCATATAAATGCACAATAAAAATAAAAATAACTACATGTGCAATAAAAATAACTACACATGCAGCGAGATCTCGCTTACCGGGCTGTCTCGCTTTAATAGAGGGCCAGCCCAGCTTCAATATAAACAGGCCCTTAGCTGGTAGCCAAAACCCACAACTGGGCTACAATTAAATTTTGTATGGCCACAAGACACTGGTTGTCAAATCTGTATTCAGAACAATTTGAGAATGAGCGATAATCTTTTTGTTGATAGCCCCTATTACAGTTTATCTTGTTAGCATTTAATATTATTAAGACATGATATGTCAACTCGTCAATTTGACATTTTCCGGGTTAGAAAATAGATACAGTAGTCAGTACCTTTTCATAGCCCCATTCGACCCAACCACTTTTCCCCGAGAAACAATTGATGAGCAACAGGCCATCGACCAATTTCGGGTATTTCAGGCCATATCGACAAAGAATGCTTGCTCCAGCGCCGATGCCCAGTCCCACAAATGACTTCAATTTAAAATGCGCCACAACATCGCTGACAGCCTCAGCCAAGTCGTCCATACTCGGATACTGAAAAGTCTCAGGAAACTGAGCAGCCTGGTCTTGTTGACCGGGCGCATCGATATGATAGATTGTGAAATACTGCAATATGGGTGCCATTTCAGTGCAATTAAGAAAACTTTGAAAGGCCGAAATGTGGTTCTGTCCGATATCATGAAATGTTATTATGGCCGGTTTGCCTTCCGTACCATGTAAAGTGATGTGTAGTTTCCCATGGTTTGTGTCGATTTCCTCCTTGCGAATTAACGACTTCTCTTCGGGGGCATAAAAATTCTGCCCGTCTTTCTCGTCAAGGAGTTTAATATTCTGCAACTGTAGTTCCTCCATCGATTTTGTCTCCGCTTGTTTCGCGACTTCGTCAATGTCAACTTGAACAAAGCTTGATGCGGTTGGCTGGCCGCTTGGTCGATAAATTTCCGCTTTCGTCGACATAATAAACACCTTTCACAAGTTAATATTTAAATTTTAACAGGAACAGTTGAACTTTAACTAGCTGTGATTATGAACGTATATATTGCTTCATGCGTGTATCCCGCGTGGATGTCTCGTGAAGGTCGAGGTAATATGAATTGAAAATATCAAATAACTCAAAATGACAAAAGGTTTCAAAATGTTATAGCGCTGAGCGCTGAGTTGAAAAACTAATTAAACCAGGATCAATTATCAAGGGAAACTTAACAAAATTATCTGTCTGTAAAAATCCAAAAATCGAGCGTTCGCGAATCGCAAGCAGAATATAAAATTGTTACCAGAGAAGTACCAGGCGGAAAACGAATTCTAATAATAAATATTAAAGCAGAATATAATTGTGTTTTACAGTAAAAGTCAACAGATAGCTGAAACACCTGCTTGAAACTGGAATTTGGGCAAAAAAATCAACCTCGCAATTTGCTTGCGAGGTTGCAAAAAAATATGACTGAGAAATAGGATTTAAAAAAAATGTGGGTTGGGAAATTAGATCTAGAGTCTAGAGCACCCCTCCAACCCAACTCCGCTCCCTCCCTAGCACATTTGTTCTCATTGTCTACCTGTGGAATTGCACCCGTTCCGCACGTTGTAACCAATAGTTTATTGGCGTTGTAATGCCATTGTATGCAATAAAGTATTGGGTTGTAACTGAAAACAAAACCACAACCACTGCACAAAAGTTTTAGTTATAAGTGTAATTGGCATTGCTTGGTTGATGGAGGGGAGGCGATAGGGCAATTCCCCGGAGGGGTAGCTGGCCGGGGTTGGGGTTTGCGGTTAGGTTGCGGGGTTAGCAGGTGGGGTTAGGGGTTAGGGGTTAGAAGGTGGGGTTAGGGTTAGGGGTTAGGATTAGGGTTAGGGTTTGAGTTAGGATTAGCGTTTGGATTAGTTGTAAATCCATTGTAACAAATACTTTATTGCATACAATGGCATTACAACGCCAATAAATTATTGGTTACAACGTGCGGAACGGCTGGGAATTGATAGCGTCGAATTAAGACTCGAAGGCTCGAACGGCCGGCTACTAAAGCCGGTTTTCCACTTGCGAATTTTTTCGCGCGAAGCGAATTTTTCTTTTGTCTTTATCCAATTAGTTCCAGATGGTTCCAGTTGAGAGACCAAAGACAAATGAAAAATTCGCTTCGCGCGAAAAAATTCGCAAGTGGAAAGCCGGCTTAACTACAATTCTCAGGAGTCTATATATTAATTCTAAGCCATCTACCATTCAATATTTTATATGATTAATCCCTATCGAGACGTCACCAAAACTACCGTCAATGAGATCACAAATTTACCCAAGATGGCATCCTATTACTTCAAGTATCAGGTTAAACATGATCACATCCACGAAGAATTATTTCTTTAATTGGGAAGTATTTTTGATCACATCCACGAAGAATTCTTTTTTTCTTTATATTTTTGGCCATGGTGAGTATTTTTTATCATATGTTTCTTTGGGCACATAAAATAAATAGTTGTTTAGCGTCCCCGCCCGACCTGATAAAGTCCCCGACCTCCAATTTTTTACCTGATTTTTTTTTCAAAATCCGCCCAAGTTTAATAGTGCGAAAACTCTCTATAAAAAAAAACGTTTTACTTGAAAAAATGGTGATTTTATTCTTCCGGGAGCTATGTAATACGTTTATACAAAGTATTTCCTTCCCAGCCGAATATGCCTGTTCGCAGGTAAAGTGTTCGCGCGTGACCGCCAAATTGTAGCCTGCGTGGCAGGCGGTATTTCTACAGGCAGCGAAAATTAGGGAGGCAAAGGAAATACCTGTAATTTTCTGTTTTAAGAGGAGATTTTTTGTGTGTTACGTAACACGCGCTCAAAACTAATGCTTGCATGAGGTTATGACTAAATTCAAATTTTTTATTTTTCGATACGTCTCTCAATCGGCAAACAAACTTAAAAAGTATGTTTAGTGCTTTATCTGTAAAATAATGCTAAAATGAATAGATTTTAGATGATACGCCAAAGAGAAAATGATGTCTGAAGTTCAGTAAGTTTTGCTTATATGGCTGTAAATATAGACTTGCTCGAAGTCTCTCTTTCATTGTCATATAGTATCGATCCACTATAGAGTACATTACATGACGTAGCACGAAAAGGAGGAGCGAGAAGAGGGCATCAACTATTTCGCTGACCTCAGAATGACATTTCGTCAAAACGGTTTCTTCAAAATTGGTTTAGAAACGAATTTGTAGTAGGGTTAGGTTAGGGTTAGGATAAGGATTAGGGTTAGGGTCAGAGTTGGTGTTTGGAGTAGAGTTAGTGTTAGTAAAACCGTTGCTTTGTTACGTTTTGTCACTTTGAGGCGGGAATCCCGAAACATCGAGTTGGATTCGAGTTCGAATTCGAGTTGGACTTCGAGTTAGACTTCGAGTTATTTATATACCGGCATTTCCGAACAACTCCGATTCTTGTTTACTTCTTCGAAACTCGTGTTTATAGTATACATGGGAATCCCGAAACATCGAGTTGGATTCGAGTTCGAGTTACTTATACACTGGCGTTTCTGAATGTTCTGGTATGTTCCGAACAACTCCGATTCATGTTTGCTTCTTCGCAACTTCAAACACGTGTTATTACGTTTATAAATATGGAGAATGAAACGTAGCAATGTAAATTTACTTTATTATAAATCCGGTTTTTATAATGAACTTTGTTGTACATCTTAATATACAGTAATTACTATGTATATTTTGGAAAAGAATATATTAAAATTTGTACATTTTAAGTATTGTTTCGTTCAAAATATGCATTCGAAACTATCAGTACTATTCTGCATATCCTCACACGTGGTATTAGGGATTATCCTTAATTGTCAAATTTGCTAAAGATTAAGGAAATGCCTTATATTAAGTTGAACCCTAACCCCCACCCAACCCCCACTCTAACCTCTAACCCTAACCCTGGTTTAATCTTAATCTGGCTCTAATCTAATCCCAATCTAAAAATGATTACCTTTTTTTAATATTCCCGCCCCTGCGCGTCCAGCCTCCCTAAACTTAGACGGCGGTGTACTACAATACTTCATGTGAACTCGTCATATGCGCATCGCTGTTTTTTTACAAAGAAACGCCTGGGTACGGAGACAGGGTGTAGTATGCGATAGCAGACTGATCAGCAATGCCTCATTCTCGTACCCAGAGCCCTTCTTACACTCTGCCTCTGATATTAGTCTGCTGTTTCTCCGCAGCTCCAGTGGGGGAGGGGGGCCGGGGGGCTTCTGAGTCAGTCTGCTATCGCAGACTAACGGCGGTGGGAAGATATAAATTTTAATTTTTGAGTGAGTAAAAAATATTGTTTTCAGTTTTCACCACGAGAAGATAAATAATAAGATATGAAACTTCAAGCCACCGTGTATTTACTGTTCTTTTTATTATATAGCCAGTAAAAATAACAAAGAAAATGAACACTTAATCGATATCTTCACTAGTGAAGATCTAGTTATGGAAAATATCTCACTGTGTATTTTTTGGTGTCCGGCACTGTCTACTATAAAATAAATTAGGGTACGAGTGCTTTTGTGTCGAATTAAGAATACAAAAAATGAAGTACATGATATGAAAAAGGTATCTCAGTAAAAAGATTTGTTATAACATTTAAAAATTGTGCGGAAACCATGTCAGGTCAGGGGGCAGATCATTAATGAGGTATGGACTAATAGCGGCTGCTTAAAGCGCCATCTGTAAGCTCACAATCTACCTCGATCTGCTTCACGCCAGTTCCGGTCCTAATATAACCAGTCACTGAAAACCCTGATATAGGGAGTGTGCCTACCTCTTCCGCAGCCTTCTTGTCAAATTTCAAATTTCAACATGCGAACGGGCATACTCATTACGGGCTGTATGGCTTGCGGAGGAGGTAGGGAGTGTGCTGTGCAATATCTGTAACTTGTAGGAAATCTGCAACTCAAAATTACCACAAGGTGTTGTGGAAGCACAACCGACAAAAAGGTTACTGAGCATTTCCGATCGCGCACGACCACAAGGCCTACAGCTGCGGTAAACAATGGTTTAAGATAAAATTCCCCCATATAATAAGTGTAAATTTGGTTCAGGCTCGCTCGCTCCGCAGCAAAAAAGGTTGGGTGAAATACAATTGTCATTTTCCAGAAAAGTAAAGTATCTAACTCGAAGTTTAACTCGAAGTCCAACTCGAAGTCCAACTCGGAGCCCAACTCGAACTCGAATCCAACTCGATGTTACCTAACTCCCCTCTGAGGCCAGCGAAATAATCTCTTCCGAGAAAGAGAGACTTGTTCAAAACTGAACCGAAAATGCAAGACTTGCTTTAATTGTTTTCCTTCAATTTCTTTCTGTATTATTTACTATAATGGAACTCATGTTATTAATTGCAGTGTGCTAGATCAATACATAAAACACTGACAGAAAACAATTAAAGCAAGTCTTGCATTTTCGGTTCAGTTTTGAACGGAGATTTTCCGAAGTTGACAAGTCTCTCTTTCTCGCTCCGCCCCTCCGTTCTACGTCATGTAATGTACACTATAGTGGACCGATACTATATGACAACGAAAGCAGGGGCGTAGGAAGCGGGGGGCGAGGGGGCCGCGGCCCCCCTAAAAATTTATAAGGGGGGCCGAGATAGCTTTCGCCCCCCCGCCCCCCAAAGATCATTGAATTTACTCAATTTACAGTAAATGCAGTGAAATTCGAAACTGAAATGGCTAAATAGGGCTCTGAAATGGCCATTTCCAAGGATCTAGAGCCTCTAATTTTCAAAAAAATTCGACCCCCCCAATCTCGAATGTGTTCCTACGCCCCTGAACGAAAGAGAGACTCAGAGCAAGTCTACTGTAAATATGGCTTCAATTTTAAAGCATCATTGATAATTTATTTTAATTGACAATTTTTAACTATTATTTTATGTTTCTCAACCGGCAGATGCATTTGAAAAGGTTGCTAACTCTAAAAACTAGAGAATAAAGCTAAAACAAAGTAATTTTGAAAGGAACGCCAAAAAGATTTAGGTTTTGAACACTTTTCATTGCAAATACGTGACATAGAAAAACATATGAACGGTATTAAAAAACATGAACGGATTTTGAAAGAATTAAAATGAGTTCTGACTGTGGTAGTATACTGGATTTCCTGCATTTAGCAGAATTTCGTGTTGCATTGTACGAGAAACAAAACAAAAAAAAACCGCCCGCCCTAGAAAAATTAAAATGGGTGAACGCTAAACAAGTAATGGTTTTTTATGTGGCCTTATCGATTAAAACTCGCAATCGCAATTGAACACTAATTAGTACGCTCTATAGCTATATCTGATTCTATCATGTCATCAGTCCATGTCACGAAGAAGTCCCATGGTATAAAGAATACTAATAAGGCCACAGGGGGCTCAACTACTCTCAGTACTAGTACCAAGTGTAAAATAATCAAAATAATAAACTTTGCATAAATTATTCGCAAAAATTAAAAAAAGATCATCAAGTTTAGATTAGTGTCAGATTAAGGTTAGATTAGTGTCAGATTAAGATTAGATTAGGGTTAGATTAAGATTATGTAGGGTTATGCATACAATTGGTTTACAATTACAACGGATTATTGGTTACAACGTGCGTTCGGCTGCGCTATGAAACAGTTTATGGCATATAAATTAAGACAGCATGAAATACTGAGCGCTGATTGGCTGAGTGGGTGCGATCATATGTTCAAAAACTGTATCGGATTTGTTGGCACGCTGCCCTTTGAAAATTTTGAATTTCCGGTCCATCGTCTCTGAAATATTCAATTTGAAAGTAGAAATTTGTTCAGAGTTGATCAGTATCAATTCAAAAAAAAGAAGGTGTTTGTTGATGGAAATTGCCTTTGCATGAATTGATACTGATCGACTCTTTAATTAATTTCTACTTTCAAATTGAATATTTCAGAGACAATGGACCGGAAATTCAACATTTTCAAGGGGCAGCGTGCCAACAAACCGAGTTTGGGTAATGGTCGAGTGTCGAGGGTCATAGGTCGAGGGTCGAGGTTCGGAAGTCGAGGTCGAGGGTCAAAGTCGAGGGTGAAAAGTCGAGGTCGAGGGTCAAAAGTCGAGGGTCGAAATTCGAAAATACTAAATTTTTATCCATTTTAAAAGTTTTACTACCATTAAACGCGGCAAAACAATTAGTTTTGCTGTCAAAACTGAAAAATTTCGCCTATGGCTATGCCGTATGGCTATGTACTGTATAACTGAAAGTTTCGTTTGTGGAACTAAAAGTCTGATGCGAGGTTTGATGTTTGAAAGCATACATCTTTTATTTTACATCAGGGGCGGACTGGCCCACAGGGATACCGGGAAATTTCCCGGTGCGCCCCTGATTAAAATGTTCTTTGGCGCCCCTATTTTGGAATTTTGTAGATAATTTATATGTTATTTTGGTAATGGTATTTGTTCACGCCCAGTTTAACAAAGACATAAGTTCTCTCACTAATTCGAAAATGGTTAATGCTCGACGGCGCGATGTTCAAGAAAACATTCGTGTCTTAGAAATAATAGTATCTGTAATCAAATACCTTGCTAAACGATCCTTTTCATTCAGAGGACACCGAAACGAATCTTCATACACTTTAGATAATAGATCAGTTGATCATGGCAATTTTTTAGAAACAATCCTTTTGATTTCGGAATTTGATGTACCTTTAAACAGTCATGTACAGGAATTAAGTAATTCATAAAAGTAAGAAAAGACGAGAAAATTTGAAACGAAAAGGCAAACAGAATAGTCGTCGACGTGGAAATTTAGTAGCAATGCTTTCAAAATCCCAGTTAACAAAATTTTGCTAGCAATTTTAAACATCAAATCAAAAATTATTCAAAAGATTGGAGAAAAGAAGTTTTCGTGGGTGGTACACAAGACACCGCCACGGTGGAACAGGATCGGAAACAATAATTTTGCGTTATGTTCTTGGCCTGGAAGTCAATAAATCAAAAGTTTATGATGGATCAGCAGCTGTATTTTTCAACTTTTGAAGACAAATCTTGAGCAACAAGGTCTAAAGATGGAAAATATTATCGGTGAATCATTTGATGGAGCATCAAATATGCGTAGGGAGTTCGGAGGTGTACAGAAGCTGATCAGAGACGTTTCGCCAAATTCGTTGTACATATGGTGCTACGCTCATGTGCTAAACCTTGCTGCTCCAGATATGGTAGAAAACATA